ACAGCTTTGCCACCTTCAGAAGCAAAACCAATCCCCCAGGCTCAGCCCCGGTACCTGGGGCATGTTCCAGAACACCCCGAAGTGAGTGAGCCCTGCGGTCCAGCTTGGGCAGATGTATTTGTCGGGAGACGGGTTTTCTCTGGGGAGACCTGCGCAAGCGAATACACTTGTGCTCCGGCCGACCTGGGGGCGGGGGTCCCCCCCAAGCAGCACGTGCCTTGAAAGAGCTGCTCCATATCGGGCATTAGCACAGTCTCCAGCTAGCCGGCCCGCGGCTCTTTGGTGAACTTTGCTTCCTCTCCCAGGCAGCAAGCCCACACGTGTTAGCCAGATGCCACCTGCACCCGCTGCGTTCCAGGGGCAACAGGTGTGGGCCAGAGAATGGCAAAAGGGAGGGGGTGAAGAGGACTCATCCGGAGGCTTGATTCCCCATCCCCAGGAGAAGGATAATTTGGGCTATTGGTACTGTCTGTACATATGTCTCTGAGGCGCCCGGGGGCAAATTGATTGGTCTCTGCACATCACCAAGCCCGGGGGAGAAAAGCGGGAGAGGCAAGGCTCTAGCCTAAAAGGGACTAAAATGAGGGTAACAAAAATTTTAAAAGTGAAAAGCCATCAGAGAATCTGCTCCCACCTCTTCTGTTAATTTCATTGCGCCAGAAACGGGTCAGAGCCAGACCCAGGCAGGAGCCTTGAATTGATTCGATTTTTAGTGGCGTTGACCTAATTCATGACGCTGTTTACTTTAAAAAAAAAAAAACTTTTTTTCAAACAGATGCACTACCACGTGTACGAGGCTCTCCCAGCTCTCTCCAAGGTGGGTGAGCATCGCCCTCTGTGGGCATGTAAGGAAAACTGAATTCAGTTCTGAATGGATCAAGATTCGTTCTCTTTGGCTAGGTCTACACAGAAGGGCTAAAGTGGAATTAAGCTACCAACTTCAGCTAGTCAATTGCATAAAGAGAAGCTAGATAATTTCATGGAGGTTAGGTCCATAAAAGGTTATTAGCCAGAGGATAAAATGGTGTCCTTGGCCTCTGTTTGTCAGAGGCTGGAGAGAGATGGCAGGAGACAAATTGCTTGATCATTGTCTTCCGTCCACCCTCTCTGGGGCACCTGGTGCTGGCCACTGTCCGCAGACAGGATACTGGGCTAGAAGGACCTTTGGTCTGACCCAGTAAGGCCGTTTTTATGTTTTTATGTTCTTATAGTTTAAGTAGAAATAGCTTAACTCTTTTGGCACTGTCTACACAGCAGAACACTCTTCCTTTGACTTCCCTTACTCCTCCTGAAAAAAAGGTTACAGGAGCCAGACTAAGAAGTCCTCCAGCTCCACATTAGTTTGAAACAAAGGCTTGTAGTGTAGAGTAATGTCAGTTACTCCAAAATAACACTGCTGTGTAGATGTACCTATTAGAGGGTGCCAAGGCAATCTTAAAAATGAGTTGCCCCTTTGAACATGTTCAGATTCAGAGGATTTAAAAACCGGGGAGGGAAGGAATGATCAGTAACTGGGAAGAGATATTACACAGCTTGCACACCAATACATTTTAATGCCCCAAACTTATGTATTAACGGGACAGGGTCGAATTTAAGAGACTCCCCTCTTCTGATTAAACAGTTTCAGTATGTCTACATTGTCTTTACATTCATCTGCATTTGAGGTTTGCACTGGCTTCGCTAGAATGATTTAAAAGCTATATGGATAAATCGATGCAATCTTTGTACTTCACACATGGCTTGAATAAATAACTTTCACCCACGGGCCGTGGAGATAGGAAAAAAACCCAAGTTGTAGACACAATTCTGGGACAGCTTTGCCGGACGATAACACCTACATTAGAGGATGCCAAAAAACACGTCATTCTGGATGACTCACTAATCTTTCACTGTGGCTGGGATCTCGTTAAAATATGGGCAGAAGCAGGGACCTCAACCAAACTGACCACTAGCGTTTTCCATTGCCTTTAAAATACGCGTGTACCCGCAGGTACCGCAAAGCGAGCTAAGCTGCAGCGCTAGCCCCGAACAAACTCCCAACAAGTGAACACGTGGAACCCGCCTCTTGAAAAGCAGGAGCAAAACTCCCACTGACGTTTCCCATTGACTTCAATGGGATTTGGATCAGGCCCTTTCTGCTAGGGATGGTAACTCCTATTGTGCTGGAGTGAGTCAAAATTGACACAATCAGGAGAAGTTAAAGGAGGTGGAGACAGCTCCAAAGGATCGTAAAGTGAAGTAGCTATTGACTGGAGCTGAGATTAAAGAGTTTAAGTGATTTGGTTTGACTGGAACTGGTAAAATTATCGCGGAGGAATTTATAACAGAGATTGAGAAAAGAGGCTGGAAAGTATTTGCCACAGGGAAACGTAGTGTATAAAACTTACCAAGCTTTCTGTCTAAGGGAATCTTAAAAAAATAAAATAAAAAATCAAAATACTAGAGACAGGTGGCTGGTACCAAGGTGGTATGACTGGATTAAAGCTAAACACACCAAGATGATAATGTGAGAGGGTGTCAGACAGACACACCAGCATTACCACAGGCCAGAGATACAGGTCATCTGCTTAAAATCCAAGGAAAATTCCACTGTAAAGAAAGTCATTTCAGAAATCAAATTAGGCAGTGTCCCTTTAATTCTATTAGCCACCTGTAATCTTGTTAACCCATGCTCCTCTAGCCAACAGAGGAATTGGAAAATGGAAATGCAGCTCAAATGTGCCACTCAGACCCTGGGGATGGACCTCTCAAAGGCTTGACCCCATGGGTAATTTTATTAAAATTCACCCTTTCTTGGAAACTGAGACTCTAAGGCTGTGTCTAGACTGGCAAGTTTTTCCGCAAAATCATCTGCTTTTGCGGAAAAACTTGCCAGCTGTCTACACTGGCTGCTTGAATTTCCGCAAAAGCACTGACGATCTCATGTAAGATTGTCAGTGCTTTTGCGGAAATACTATGCTGCTCCCGTTTGGGCAAAAGTCTTTTTCCGAAAAACTTTTGCGCAAAAGGGCCAGTGTAGACAGCAGAGATTGGTTTTCCGCAAAAAAGCCCCGATCGCGAAAATGGTGATTGGGGCTTTTTTGCGGAAAAGCATGTCTAGATTGGCCACGGACGCTTTTCTGCAAAAAGTGCTTTTGCAGAAAAGTGTCCTGCCAATCTAGATGTGCTTTTCCAAAAATGCTTTTAACTGAAAACTTTTCTGTTAGAAGCATTTCCGGAAAATCATGCCAGTGTAGACGTAGCCTAAGGGTGCATCAACACTGCACTGTTATTTCAAGATAACTAGTGTTATTTTGAAATAAATGAGCATCTACACAGCCATTCTGTTATTTATTTCAAAATAATGGATGGCTTATCCTGAAATCTGCAAGCCTCATTCTAGGAGGAATAACACCTATGCTGAAATAGCTATTTTGAAATAAGGCATGTGTAGACATGCCACTGCTGCTATTTTTCAAAATAGCCCCTCACCAGGGCCATTCTAAGTTGTTCCTCCCCAGTGCCTCCTGGGGCTCTAAATCAAAATAGCACATCTGCATTAGGGAAGTCTGCCTTGGACTAATTTTGAGGCTTCCCTGCAGTGTAGACCTGCTATTTCAAAATAAGCTATTTCTGAATAACTTCTGGAATAGCTTATTTTGAAATTGCTGTGCAGTGTAGATGTACCCTAGGGTACATCTACACAGCAGGGAGAAAGTAAAATTAAGCTTCATAACTTCAGCTATGTCAATTGCATAGCTTAAGCAGAAATTGCTTATTCAGCTTTTGGAGCTGTCTACACAGCAGGAAGTTAAAGGAAGAACACTCTTCCTTCAACTTCCCCTACTCCTTATGAAATGTTGGTTACAAGAGTCAGAGTTAGAAGTCCTACACAGCAAGCCATTATTTGAAGTAGGGTTGAGCTGGAGATGAGCCCTAGTGCTGCCAAAAAAAAACCCAGGCTGTGTAGACATACCCTTCTGGATCATAGAGGCAGACTGACCCAACAACACCTTCACCAGCATAAACTTGTCTCTCCCCCCTCCATTCCATTACAGATCCACTTTTCCAGAGTTGAAATCCTAACTTCCTGGCTCTCTCCAAAACTAAAATTTGGATGCAGACACCCAGGAAACTAGGAACACTCGGTCTTCTGCTCAGGTGCACCTCAAATGAATTTCAAAGGCATCTGCATTTCCTGAGACAGGAATCCTGCTGGAGGCAGGCAGCACTGGATGTAAGGCAAAGGCTGTAATTAACAAGAATTCGTTTAGTAGGCATGTTTCAGAGGGGTAGCCATGTTAGTCTGTTCCAGCAAAACCAGGGAGTCACATGGCACCTTAGGGTGCATCTACACTGCATCCTTAGCTTAAAATAAGCTATGCAATTTGAGCCATGTAAATTGCATGGCTTATTTCAAGTCAATTTTGAAACAGCTTATTTTGTAATTGGTGCTGTCTTCAGAGTGCCAAATTTCAAAATAAACCACTATTCTGAAATATCTCTTAATCCTCATGGAAGGAGGTTTACAGGGACTTCCGAATAGCATGCCTGTTATTTTGAAAGGTATTAGGGCATGTGCTGTCAAGATATGGAATAGCTCTTTCCAGATACCAGAAGTATCCTTAAAGACTAACAATTAATTGCTAGTCTTTAAGGTGCCACCAGACTCTGAGTGTTGTTTTCATAGGCATATATCTGTCCCCAGGATCCTAAAGTATTTTAGTGTAGGAAAATCCTGAAAGATGACTTTTAAACAGAAAATCGATAGTAAATCCTACTGAGGGCTTCTAATGAACACATTTCTTTCCAGCCGCCTGTCTAGCCAAGGCCCTAGGAGCTTGCTCAAAACGAACCCAAACAAAACCCTGTTGAAGACAATTGGCGTCTATCCATTGACTTTAACGATTGATTCAATCACTGTAGTACCTAGCCGCCAGATTCCGCTCCCACTGACGTCAGTAGAGAGACTCTGACAACAATGGTGAATGGAACACGGGCTGGGCTAACATTCTCTCGGGAGCAGAAAACACCTTCCTAGGAGATCAGCGCTAACCCCCTGCTGCCCTAACAGGACCGGAGCCTGCTGCTTTGCGCTGCACGCCCTGTCGCCGCAGAGGGCTCGGTTAGGGAATGAAAGGCTGAGATGCAACCGAACCCTGCCCCCTTCAGGAGCGCGGAGCGGACTGAGGTTGCAGCTCAAGCAATAAGCAGGGAATCCGTTAGCAGTGTAGGCAGGTGAGAAAGGGACACAGCCGCCCCGGTCCGTTCCAAAGCCCTGCCTAGGAGCTCCTGTTGCCATGTTGTGTTACGATCGAAATGCCCCCCCCCCCTTTTTACTTTTCTTATGGGGGGCGGGGGAGGCCTTCCCTTTCTCGTGTCCCTGTGAAAGGGCTCCCACAAGCAAGGGCAGGAACAACTCAATCAGGAAACCTGTGAAAGGGACTATCCAGCAAGCGAGGGCAAATGCGCTGACTGAAGTGGGAGGGGAGGTATTTCTCCGGCGCCTTGAGGCTGTTCCACAGGAAGGGCGAGTGTTACTTATCACAGCAGTAGGCCAAAACTTTCCAGACGGGAAGGTGTTACATTTGATGGAGCCCCGGGAATGCCCCATGGAGCAGAACTAGAGCCGTTCACACCGCTGGCTGCAGACTCTAACCCAGCATGGCTTTGGGAAGGCTCTTTGCAGCCTGTTTTCTTAAATGAGGCGGTCAGACCAGCTGCAAGGGAAGGAAACATAAGGGCGCCCCTTTTGTATTCACCTCTGCTGCTGCGAACAGGTTGAAATGTGGAGCTGAGTGCGGAGCACCTGCTCTGAGATCTGTTTGGCTTGAGCTTCTTCCTCCCCTGGGGGCAGGTAGAATCAGTACCCAAGTGGTGGTCCCTTCTGATAGGTTTGAATGAATGCACAGACAGCTCTTTAATAGCAAGGAGTAGACCTTGCAGACTAACATAGAGAGAGAGCTGCAGAGGAGTAGCCAAGCTAGTCTGTAACAGGAAAAACTTTAAGAACAACAAATAGTCCAGTAGCACCTTAAAGACTAACAATAGAGATGGTATCATGAGGTTTTGTGGTCAAAACCCACTTCTTATGAGATGATCTTGAGTGGAGAAAAAAAAAAAGGAGGACCCTCCAAATAAGAAGGGAGAAGGAGAAAAAAATTACCTGTCAATTGCAGTCCGGGGGCTAATGAGGCTAATTGAGTAGGCTGGAAGCGTCCCATACTTAGCTTTTGATGTCAATAGGAGGTTGAATGTGAGGGACGCTGGTTTTATAAGATGTTAGCCAGTTCAAGTCTTTGTTCAGGCCAAGGGAGCTGGTGTCAAATTTGCATATGAAGGTCACTTCTTTAATCTTTAATGTGAGCAGTTTCCTACTCTCAGAATTGACATGGGGCCCTTTCCCCACTCTCCTATATACAAGAATGGTTAATTACCCTGCCTCCATGTGATGATTATTTGATTAATTGCTACTGGCACTTGAATGCAAGTGGGCACAGCGTTTCAGCGGGGGGTGTGCACTTTTCAGATGTCTCACCTTTCTAGTCAGGCTTTAGTAGGAGGGTGGCAAACATAGCCAGCTTGCCTAAAGACAGAGAGAATTAACCATGTTTCCTCATGCTACAGAGCAGAAGAATTTTTCACTTTAAAGGGCTCAGCCAAAGTTTTGACTCTTGCTCCATAGTGACCCTCTTCCCTCTCAAATTAATTCAATTTTCCCTTTCCTGTAAAACTTGACAGCACCGGTCCAGTCATCTGCTGTGAAAGTCTTGAGTTCCTGTTGGTTTCAACACAGGCACAGCTGTTGACTTAGTCTGGTAATGACTGAGGAAGGAAGGGGAAAGGCCAGAATGGGAATGTCTTACTGGCACCTTAGTCTCTCTTCTGCATCCAGCAGTGCCTTTTGCTTTTCTACAGAGGCTGTTTTCTGCGAGGATGCCTGCCAAAGCCAATGATCAGAGCAGCAGGAAGGGTTATTCCTTTAATTCAGGTTTGTTTCCTAAGTCCCCAGAGTCCTACAGACTATTTTAGGGTAGTTGCATGCTCCAAGTAATAGTAGTGCATGACATGGGATAAAAAGATGTCAGAAAAAACTTTGCACTAGAAAAATTAAAGTTTTGGGATTTTATGTGACTTAAGTTCTAAGCACATTCTTTCCCCCATTGCACAAACAGCTGGAGAGGATGTTGTTATTGCCAGTGACCTACGAAAATATAAATAAAGTGACTCAGGATGGGTATGTGGGTGTGTGAAAAATCCCATTGGGGCAAAAATCCTGTTGACTTCAGCTGGAAGAGTGGTTTGCTGCCCATTGGTCACATGGGTAATAGCTTGTGGCCTCCACAAACAAAAGAAAGGGGGGGGGGGGTCTAACAAATGTGTTGGGCTAAATTCATCCCTAGACTAACTGCCCTGAAATCAAGTAGCTTTTGGACAGAATTATCACTGAAGCTCTGTGAGGAGTCTGTAGAATTAAAGCAAGTCACCCAGGCAAGATCCACATTTCCTGAGGGTGTGCAGAATTCTAAGAGGTGCAACAAATATCTTTGGATGCATCGTTCATATTGATTTTCTATTACTAGGCCCTGTAGTTGCACCTGACTGTAGTTGCACCCTTGTTGTCCTAATAGCATCAATGACGTGGTGATGCCTTCCACTTGCTGATTGCATCTGTGGAGTGGGTAGTGCTGACAGCCTGCCCTTTAGGGGGGACCTTGTTACAGGTACCCACTTAAGCGGTTGCCTTTTAAGGAGTGAGGGAGCTCCTTTTCCGTTAGCTTGAAATGTGAGTCACATTAATAAACCACAGGGAGAAATGCTGCATTAGCTAGACAAGGATCTAGATTATCTACTAAGTGTGTTCTCATTTTAAGTTCTGTATCAATAAGAGGTCATTTAAAGTCTCTTGTTGTAAAGCAAAACTCTTAGGCTATGTCTACACTAGCGGCTTCTTGCGTGAGTAATATGCAAATGAGGCTAAGCGTGGCATATCGCCGAGCCTTATTTTCATACCTAATGAGCCACCATTTTTTTCAGAAGAGACTCTTGCGCAAGAAGGAGCGTCTACACTGCCCTTTCTTGCGCAAGAAAAACCCTCTTGCGCAATGCCGTTCTTCCTGAAAAGTAATAGGTGTAACGGCATTGCTCGGCGATATTCCACGCTTAGCCTTATTTGCATATTACTCGCGCAAGAAGCCACGAGTATAGACATAGCCTTAGGGTACATCTACATTGCATGGCTATTTTGGGATACCAGAATATTCAAAAAGGATTTGATGATAGCTAACAGAGAAGGTAATACAAGGGGTGGCTTCAATCCACATTGGTCAGCTCAGCAACCACACCTAATTTATCTAAAATGCAGGAGCTCCCTCTGCTGTGTAGAGGCCATTATAGCTTCTTTGTGATGTGATTTTTCTATGTAATAGAAAAGGACATTATGAAAAAGGAATGTAGAGACTATCACTGGGAAATTAACCATGAAATTACAAATAATGTTAATTGGAGTCATGGGGCTAAGTCTCCAGACATGAGCAGCTCTAACACACTCAACACAGCAAAGAGTTGCCTTTTTTTCTCCACATAAAAAAGATCCTGGTAATTGTGTTAACATTAGTGTGAAAAGAAATGGGCATGTAGTGTAATTAGCTGCAAAGTACTGAACATCCATGATCTGCAATTGACCTATGATCCACAGAGCCAGCCTGCAAACCACAGAACCAAAAGGAGGTGCTAAGGAGAAGGGTATGTTTTTAACCCTCTGCATTCAGCACCTAAATCACACTTATAGGGTGGCACCCCCATCTCTGCTAGTGACCTGTGAAATGGAGATTGGCCCTAACCTGCAGGCACCCCACCATCTGAGATCTCCCTTATAACCTTTAGCCCACTGGTTAGGGTACACATCCAGGATGTGGAAGACTTCCACCTCTCCCATTCAACTCCCTGCCCTGCTTGATGAGAAGAGAAATGAACAATGTTCTACTCGGGGCGGCCCTAGACTAGCTGCCAGCAACTAGTGCCCTAGGTGAACCATGCAATTGGTGCCCCCACCTCCAACCCCACAATGATATTGCACCACCATTTGGTGCCCCATTTAACTTGGCGCCCTAGGCGACTGCCTAGTTCCCCTATATGGACAAGCCGCCCCTGGTTCTACTCTCTCTCAGGTGAGCACCCTACCCACTATCAAGTCATTCAAACTTTCCCTAGTGCAGAGAATATTAATTAAAGTGCAACAACTTCTGTGGGAGTGATTGAAAACGCCCTTCCTTGGAATATTCCCTGGCCACCCCCAGGCTACGTCAACACTGGTGGGTTATTGCGCAAGTACGGCCGTTCTTGTGCAAGAATCCACAGAGCGTCTACACTACCCGCCTGCTCTTGTGCAAGGAAATTTACAGTACGGTGTGGTAAGAGACGGCTCCTTGCACAAGAGCTATGCTCTTTTTAACAGGCGCAAGAGGGCAGTGTGGATGCTTGGCAGGGATTTCTTGTGCAAGAAAGCTCTATAGCTAAAATGGCCATCAGAGCTTTCTTGCGCAAGAGAGCATCCACACTGCCATGGGTGCTCTTGTGCAAAAGCACAGCTTGCACATGGCAGTGTGGACATTTTCTTGCACAAGAACCCTTGCACAAGATGCCGCCAGTGTAGATACATAGCCCCAGATACGACAGATTCCTGTTTAAAGCCCTCCTGATCAGAAGGGGGGATGTGAATCAGGATCTCCCACACCATGCATCAGTACCCTACCCACTAAGCTGCCCATTGCAGGGACCAGCTCCATCTTCCCTCCTGTCCCTAGGTTGTTTGGTGCAAATTCACATGCAGATTTCCCGGACATAAGGCAGCCTCTGACTCTGCATTGTGGATTAGCACTGCCCACACTCCAGGCAGTTGAATGCTTATCTTCCCCAGTTTATGAATCACCAGGCTTGGGCCCTTTGGTCCTACCTCAATGCAGCAGTGCACCTGTTCTGAGGCAGAAACAGGCACCAAGGGAAATTTACAACAAAAACTTAGGGCCTTGAGTGAATTTAGGCCCCTACAGACTTCGGTGGCAAGGCAGCTGGGCAGAGTTGTGGATCACAGCAATGGCTGAAAATAGGACTTAGTACCTCAATGGATCTCATCCATGGCACCACTTTTTTTTTTTTTTTTTTTTTGAAATCCCTTCTTGCTCCCCTCCCATGCTATCCTGAGCACAGACGGGGGCAGCAGGTAGCCTAAAGCTCTTTCAGAAGAAGGATGTTTTTGTTTTAAAAAGGGAGCAATTTGGCTCCATCTACCACTGCAGATGGACCCGTGGCTCCTTTAAGTGCTGCTACCCAACTTTCCTTGCTTGCTTCCAGTGTAGTTGCCAGCACTGTAGTAGGGCTCTCAGAGGTACTTTCTGATTATGCAGCTTTAGGCCATGTCTAGACAAGGAGGAAAAAGGGTGATTCTTTCCTCTTCAAAATTAACTCAGTGGCACTTAACTAGGTTTGTGTCTACACTAAGGCTACGTCTACACTGCATCTCTCTTGCGCAAAAGCCTATGCAAATGAAGCATAGATTAGCATATTGCCACACTTCATTTGCATAATTAATTAGGGGCCATTTTTGCACAAGAGGCTTTTGCACAAAAAGGAGCTGTGTAGACGGCTCCCTTTTGCACAAAACCCCCTCTTGCGCAAGAGCCGTTCTTCCTGAAAAAATGAGCGACTCTTGCGCAAGAGGGGGTTTTTACGCAAAAAGGAGCCATCTACACAGCTCCTTTTTGTATAAAAGCCTCTTGTGCAAAAATGGCCCCTAATTAATTATCCAAATGAAGCATGGCAATATGCTAATCCATGCTTCATTTGCATAGGCTTTTGCACAAGAGAGGTGCAGTGTAGACATAGCCTAGGAAAGACATTTTTATGATGAGATAACTAACAGGCTGTAAAACCCTTCTGTAGGCAAGGACTAAGGCAGGAGCGGTCCGAGGCCGGCTGCCACAGCTGGTGCCCTAGGCAGAAGGCATGATCAGCACGCCTGCCTGCTCGGCCATCAATGGCCGTGACGTAATCACAGGGAGCCCTGGCACATCATCATCAGGCGCCCGGTGCCCTAGGCAACTGCCTAGTCTCACGGGCTGCCCCTTGGCAAAGGTAGTTTTGCTTCAGTGTGGCTGACTGAGGTGAACTCTAGAGTCTTTAAGGTGCTACTACACTATTTGTTGTTGAAGTTTTTCTAGCTATCTAATCATCAACCAACTTTCCCCCAACAGACCCATGGCTGAGGAAGCTATACTTGTCCTGTCAAAATCCAGGCTACCGTTAAAAACAATCCTCACTGGTGAAAGTCGGGTTTTCAGCTGAAGGAGAGACATCTTGATTGACCTCCTGCCCCCACAAAGCACCAGGCCTGAGGAGTGGAAGGATAGTTCCAGAGTTCGTGTTTTGTGCTTGGCTACAGCAGGGGGCAGGACTACATTTCTGGCTTCTGCTATCTGGTCTTGCAATCAAACATTTAGAGCCTCAAAGAGTTGATTTGAGTGTCAGTTAGCAACCAAGGATGCACCTGAACCTGGGCAGAAAGTGGCATAAGTGACTGTAGAGAGTCAATGGATGGTAGCAGTAAAGCTGTCATTTTCCAAAGGACTTTTCCATGCCTGTGAAATATCAAGGGGGGGATTTCCTGAAGTAACAGCAGGACAGTTGCTGTAATGTAAACAGTCCTAGCAGATACTCCCAGCGAGAACAGAGGCTGTACTTCACCACTCCCACCGGTCATCTTTCTCCCCTTTTCTAACCCTCAGGCAGCGAAAACTATTTATTTGTCTCAGTTCAATTGCAAAGTGCAAGGCAGGGGAGGGTAAGGAATAAGACACACGCTGTGAAAGACTCCCCAAAACAAGGTGGATGGCAACACAACCTCAAACCATGGCTGTGTTGTTCTCAGGAGGACTTGTTTTTTTACCCACTGTCCAGACAGGAGGAATGATCTAGAGAACAGCCCAGCAGCCCAACAAAGCTCATCCTTTGGAGGGATCCAATGCTCGGACACCAGCTTGAGTCTTGAGTCCTGGCTTCAGTTCCCTGCTCCACACAGATTTTTTGGCCAAGGCACTTAGCCTCTCTGGGCCTGTCTCTCTACACTGTGATAAAGGACCCCTAGAAGAGTTGGCGCTGGACAATTCCACTGATGCTTTGTCTATGCTGGCAATTGAGCTGCAAAGCTTTTGTCATCCACAGACACTTAAAAAAATACCCCTCTTTCTCCTGTGCCCTCCCGCAAACTACAAAAGTACTTTGTGAGCAGGAGCGCTCTCAATATGGGTCATAGGGGGCGGAAGTTTTTTGTTGGCAAGAGTGTTTGCACTGCCCAACTTTTTATCAACGCAGCTGTACAGCCTTACTACTAAAAACTGCACCGTATAGACACCAACTCCGACTTGCAGGGCTGTAAAATTGCACTGTAGACAGCTGGGCTACGTCTAGACTGGCATGATTTTACGCAAATGCTTTTAACGGTAACGTTTTCTGTTAAAAGCATTTGCAGAAAAGAGCATCTAGATTGGCACGGATGCTTTTCCGCAAAAGCACTTTTTGCGGAAAAGCGTCTGTGCCAATCTAGACGCGCTTTTGCACAAAAAAAGCCCTGATCGCCATTTTTGCGATCGGGGCTTCTTTGCGGAAAACAAATCTGAGCTGTCTACAATGGCCCTTTTGCGCAAAAGCTTTGCGCAAAAGGGACTTTTGCCCGAACGGGAGCAGCATAGTATTTCTGCAAGAAGCACTGATTTCAGCCAGTAGGAAGTCAGTGTTCTTGCAGAAATTCAAGCGGCTAGTGTAGACAGCTGGCAAGTTTTTCCACAAAAGCAGCTGATTTTGCGGAAAAACTTGCCAGTCTAGATGCAGCCTTGGGATGCAGTTTGGTTTCTGGGACCCTCCCCCACATGTCTACTCTGCAAATATATAACCACAGCACAGTCCAAGGCAGCAGAGCTGGGCCAGCTGCCAGGCTTTTAGTGCAATCAAGCCACCCTCTCAGCCTCAGCTTCTCCCTTCTGTAGAATGGGGATATAAAACACCTTCCTACCTCACAGGAACTGGAAGAATAAATACACTCAAGAGTGAGACACACTCAAATACTTCAGGGATAGGGCTAAATACATACCCAAGATAGTCAGAGGCCTAGTGCCTTTGTAGCTCAGGATACATTTCGTTAATATTGTTACCACAGGTATCCTGCATGTGGAAAGCTTTATCAATTGATTTGACTTAAGGATCAACTTTTTTTCCAAACCAAAAACACCTTCTTCCCTTGCTTACCTGCACAACTTCCCTCCTTCGTGTTAACTCTCCTCTTTAATGCCATCTCAGTGATAGAAACAGGAATTTATAGCTCCAAAGGACAGATTAGATCAGTGATGGGCAACCTGGGCTAGTGAGTAGGCTGCATGAGTGGACCTCCATCTCGGTGGCTTGCAGGACAATTTCTCAGGATAGGGTAATTTTTCTAGCTGTGCTGATGTACCTTCAATTTCTGGGGTGTGCCGATTGAAACAGTAACATTTTGAAGACAGAGGAAGTGCACAGCTCTCAGTCAGCATTGTGTACAATCAGCATACACCTCACTTGACATGTCCTTGCTTTACCTGCGTGTTACTTTAGTAGTATTGGTAGGGAAAAAAAGATAGACAGAAATCAGAGGAATCTGGCAACGCTGTGGCTGTGTCTAGACTGGCCAGTTTTTCTGGAAAATCAGCTGCTTTTCTGGAAAAGCTTGCCAGCTGTCTACACTGGCCGCTTGAATTTCCACAAAAGCACTGACTTCCTACTGTAAGAAATCAGTGCTTCTTGCGGAAATACTATTCTGCTCCCGTTCAGGCAAAAGCTTTTGCGCAAAAAGGCCAGTGTAGACAGCTGAGATTTGTTTTTCACAAAAAAGCCCCGATCACAGAAATGGTGATTAGACACGCTTTTCCGCAAAAAAGCCCCAGATTGGCACGGATGCTTTTCCGCAAAAAGCATCCGTGCCAAGCTAGACGCTCTGTTCCGAAAATGCTTTTAACAGAAAATGTTTCCGTTAAAAGCATTTCCGGAAAATCATGCCAATCTAGACGCAGCCTGTATGTGGGCAACGGTAAAAACGTTACGTGAGCGGCTCATAGAACCCGGATAGGTGGCTCACAGCCCGCAGGTTGCCCATCACTGGATCAGATTAATAACACCGATGACCATCCTGGATGTGCTCTGGCCTTATGGGCAGCCATGGCAATGATTTGAAAGATGCTCTGGCAAAGTACATCAGAAAATACTGCACCTGGGTAAGAAATCAAACTACCATTTGTTGGCAAACTTTTATTATGGAGTTTCTGAACACTGGTTGAACACGGATTATACGAGTTACTAACCCAGCCTCACTGTGACGTGCACATGTAGGAATGGGTACTGTGCGTTTTAGCAGTACTTAATAGAACTGGAATGAACCTTGAGGTCATGAAGTCCAGTTCCCTGCTCTCATGGCAGGAGTAAGTATTATCTAGACCAGAAGTGAGGAACCTTTTTCATGTCAGGGGCCGATGGCCCACAGAAAAGTCAGTTGGGGGCCTGCACAAAAGTGAGAAGCAGAAAAAAAAAAAAGATCTCACTGACATCTCACACACCAGAGCCCAGTGGGACCCAGGCTAGTAGATTTTGTGCCCCCCCCCTCCCAGGTTCTGGGGTGGGGCATGAAATAAAGGGTCCAGTATGTGAGTGGAATCAGACTGGAAGCAGGCTGAGGGCTTGGGGTCTGGGCACAAGGGAGGATTCGGGAGTGGGTTGGCGGGTCTGGGAGGGTGCAGGAGCAGGCTGGGGTGGGAGGGCTGCGTGTGGTAGGATGCAGGAAAGGGATGAGGGTGGGAGGCACAGCACCCAGGGGTTGGATCCAGACCCAGCTTACCTGACTCCGGCCTATGAGGCTCGGTGTTCCTTCCACCCACCTACCCCCGCAATAGGAAGCCAGCATTGGTGCTCTAGTCCTGTGAGAAGGCCATAGGGCTGGAGCACCAGTATTGGCTCCCTGATGATTGTTCCTAATTAGAGAACTCTGCCTTTATCCTTATTAAATTTCATCCTATTTACCTCAGACAACTCCTCCAATTTGTCCAGAACATTTTGAATGATAATCCTATCACTTGCAACCCCTCCTAGTGCAGTATCATCCACATTACTCAATCTGTATTTCCCTTGTGTTTATCTGCTAAAGGATCAGGCGTTGGTATTTTTAAAACACTTTGCCACAGTTCTTAAATTTGTAAAGAGCTGAAGTTTTGAGTTGTTCATATATTTCACATTACTCCTCAACTTGTGACTTTAATGTGATCTGTAATTAACAGGGCTCAACAAATAATATAATCTACTCGCCCATGGCGAGTAGATTACAACCCGGAAACAGCGCAGAACCACACAACTGGCGAGCCCTGGTAATTAATATTACCATATGCTTGTGAATCCTACTATTATAAAGTTAGTAGGTGTGGAGGCATTGTTCTATTTCATATTTATCTGCTGAAAGGCCAAACTAGAAGCGTGTTGCTCATCTATTTTTCCCCATGAACACAGCCAAATCATTTCTTGCTCTCAACTTCTCACCTGTTCTGAATTTGAAATCCTCACCCAGCCCCTCTAACAATAATTCTATATCAAATCAGATTATAAAAGTTATCCTTTCAACTGAGGATCTGACCAGAAGCACACCACGTTGCTTAACTGTTAATGTGAGCAATTCAACAGAATTAGACTTCAGAGCCATCTCACCGCTAGAGGGTAGGTGACAACGTTCACACTGTATATTGTTCAGATCTAGACTGAAAACAAAAGGCATTCAACTTTATACATTACAATCAGAAGAATTATGAACTAGAAAAGCTCAAATGCTACAGAATATGATTAAAGATCCATGGGAAGAACCTTTTATGTCAACAAGTTTTCTAGTGTAGACTAGGCGTTAACACACAACTGTAGTATCAAGTGCAGCTGCACCAGTGTTAAGCACTAATGTACACCAAACAAAGCCCAACCAGGTAAAAGTTACTTCCAGCTCCATTTGCATCTTGCTTACCTGAACTGGTTTTCACAGTTGTCTGGTCTATACTTGAATTTAAAACCAGCATAGCCAGTGTTAAAGACCTATACAGAATATGACAGTATAGACTGAGCTGTTGTCTCTTGTGTTTGCATCAATCCATTTCTATTGGACCCAATGATGTGTGTTGGAGCCAGCCACAGCTTTCGTTCAGGAGCAGACAGAATATGGAACAATGGGGAAGTTACAAAAGGTTACATAAAGATAACATTTTATAAATTATATGAAATTTATTTATACCTTGTCTTCAAAAGCCAGAACAAGACAATTTAATTGCTTAGAATCCGATAAAATGTTTCAGAAAGAATTACATGGAAGTGCACTTAAATACTAGCAGAAATCTGGAATTTCTGAAACATTTTATCGGAATTACATGGAAGTGCACTTAAATACTAGCAGAAATCTGGAATCAGTCAGTGTAGTACAAGACTTTGGGTTCTAACCAGAACCTACAAACTCTTTAATTCAATATTAGGAGCCTCCACCCAAAAGTGTTGAAAGATGTTACGATATCTGCTGAGCCGAGTATCAAAAATACATGTGAATCACTTTTTAAAAGTCAACACGCAAGTCAAGCAGATTATTGTCTGTTCCAAATTAGCAAAGTCATATTAAAAGCCAGTTCAATTTAAAATGGTTTAAACTTGCCCAGCCTGTGTGGATGAGGCCAAATGTCAAACAAACCATTTAGCTGGAACTCTTTAAACTACTACTTAGAACAGTTCAAAAAAGTGAGTTGAAGACCCAGTAGAGACGGGTGGCTTAGCTGATAATGGGACCTCAGTACTTTGAAGCTTCTAAGTGCTAACTTATCAATAAAAAAAAAGTTAAACCAAAGCAAGCAGCATTTTCTAGTAGGTAATATCAACTGCTATCCATTAACGGAATTAACAGTGAGCCACTTGGACATAAACCACCACACTAGTCGAGGTCATTAGATGACATGCCTAGAATTCTATTGTCACCAATACGTAGTCTTGGAGTTACAGCTAGTTGATGAAGACTCTAAAGATGATGAAACTACATATAATTATTGTCATATAATTCCCTGGGGATACACATCAAACAAACATACTCTGGGCCCTAGTTTTCAGAATTGCATGCTCTGAATTGCACAAGCATTTAGGTGTCTAATTTGTGCAAGTAACTGTGTGCAGAAGATAGGTACACAAATCCAGTCAATTCTGAAAGCACAGACCCTGGTGCAGTTTTACCTCAGTTTCTGACAATCAAGTTTTTTTAGTGCAATAGTCCCCATAACACAAAGCAAAAATCAACTTAAGTCTTCTTTCATGTCAGATTGAAGCTCAGCCCCAACAGACATGTAGTAATGAAGCTTAAGTTTTGGCGCCATGTGTATGGGGAAGTAATGGAGTATTACACAATCCATCAACAGAAGGGACATCGTTAATCAAGTGTCACTGCATAGGACATAGTAATTAGACATTATAATTTGCTTGTTACATTCACACATTTAAAGTGGAATGTACCGTACCTTTGTGTGACACATATTTGAGTTGTGTCCCAGCTTTCCACCTGTCTGCCACAATACTACACCTGTATACACACACTACATGAAGACCATATTCTAAATACAAATTCCCCTCTTTACATCACATCTTTCAGAAGACACCAGAAATTCTCATTTAAATGAAGCTCAGGTATTCAAACCATTATTAGAATTTGTAAAGTATACAAGGAGTGGGTATAAACACTACATATTATTATTCCAGTTTGTAACTCTCAGGTTGTCCGGAGGAACAGGAGAATTGACAATTTACAGGAACATTTTATAGTTTAAAAAACAACGTAGAGGTAAAAGTAAAATTTTTGCTTTTGAATTCCTGTCAATGAAAGGTTGCATTTAATGCTTAACGGTTCAAACTCTAGAATACCAATGCCAAAGATGTAAAAAAATGCCAAGACAGCAAATAAGGTTGTGTCACATCTAACAATAAAAAGAAGAAATACTTCCTGTGAATTTTTTTTTAAAAGTAGTAAGAATTATCTTATCTTTTTAATACAGTTGTACTTTCTATGCTAGAAATTTATCACTAGAATATGATTATTTATAATTTATGCCAGTTTGTAACATGCAGCTGCTGAACAAATCTCTTATGCAGGTGCACAGAACTGTTAGTGTATCATTTAAAGACTTATTATTTAGGTAACCTATTATGTATTAGTAATATTGTACTACGTTAGAATTTATTACATATACCCTTCAGGTTGACTACCAGCATTATAAACTGTTAAGTGTAGTCCATAGTTGCTGTAGGTAGTCTTAAAATGCAAACCAATTTTTGACAGTTGCATCCAACAACTGGCTTTCCATTGATTGCTTCCAATGCTCAAACAACATTTAAGAAGCATATATTTTCAAGGCTTTTTAAAAAAAAGTAGTCTTCAACTATCAATTGACGCCATTCCATCTTGAAAGCTTTATAGTTTTATGGGATCTGAGGAAATCAGAGATGAATATAGTGAGCAGAAGGATATGGGGAAGAAAAATGAGAGGAGGCAGCAGAAATGGAGACAACTGGCTGAATTTAAGCTATGTGTCTTACAATCATAGCCCACAAGTGGAGATGTGCACATCAAAGTTTTTCTGCCAGTATATAATCACCACCACCTCTGTGCCAGCAGAAGCATTCTTATGTCAGCACAACAACATCTACACTGGGAGTTTTGTTGATATAGCTACACTGGTTAGGGATGTGGGTTTCTTCACACTTCTAACTGCTATAGCTACAGGAGTATAAATTAAGCGTAGATCAGTTGTGAGGCCTAGAATACACTAAAAAATTAGGTCAATCCAGCTTTGTTGTTCTGGGCTGTGAAAAATCCACTCCTCTGGCTTAGTTAAGCCAACCTAACCCTCAGCATAGGCAAAGCTAGGTCAATGGAAGAACTTTCTCTGCTGACCTAGCTACTGCCTCTTGGAGAAGTGGATTACCTACATTGACAAGAGAATCCCCACTGTTGGCACTGGCAGCATCTTCACTGAAGCACTACAGCAGCACAACTGCAACTCTGCCACTGTAGCGTTTCAAGAATAGTCAAGGGAGCAAGAGTAACACCCTAACTGGATGAGCAGCAGCAAAGAGACCCTTCAAAATGGATGGAGAGATCAGATACTGGAGCCAAGAAACTGTAACTCTTCAAAATCTTCCATATTTATTTTCAGATGTCAGAGATCATCTTGGGATGAGAAATGACAGGTGTCACGGATTTTGTGTCTTTTCCCCTAATTCTGGTATATCAGTTTATCTCCCATTCTAGTTCACTGATCCCTCAAGGAGCGTAGCAAAACCTGTGCCATCATATCATCTTCATCAGCATCATAATCCTAAAGACAAAAGGGGCATTAGAAACTGAACTTCATGATAACCGAATAAGGATACTAATGAAAACCTTTAGAAAATGTAAAAAGAAACAAAGTCTAAGGTGCCACACAACTAACAAATATATCATGAGCTTTCATAGGTAAAACCTACTCCATCAGAAAATGTAGGTACTTAAAAAAGCCACACACAAGCTACTTAACATGATCTGTATACCTCATAAAACAAGGTGAGCTGCCCGTCAGGACTTTGTCAATATGGGGCAGATTTCACAGAAACAGTTGAAACAAACTAAGTTTGAATACAATTAAGAAAAAAATGTGTGAGAGTCACCATTTTGCTATATTCCAATATTAAGGAATATCCTAAAATAGTTATTAGTGGTATTTCTAACTTAAAAAAATCAAACCCATGCCACAACAGATCTTATAGGAACACAACATAAGAACAGCCGTACTGGGTCAGACCAAAGGTCCTTCTAGCCCAGAATCCTGTCTGCCGACAGTGGCCAGCACCAGGGGCCCCAGAGAGGGTGGACTGAAGACAATGATCAAGCGATTTGTCTCCTGCCATCTCTCTCCAGCCTCTGAAACAGAGGCCAAGGACACCATTTTATCCCCTGGCTAATAGCCTTTTATAGACCTAACCTCCATGAAATTATCTAGCTCCTCTTTAAACTCTATTATAGTCCTAGCCTTCACAGCCTCCTCTGACAAGGAGTTTCACAGGTTGACTACACGCTGTGTGAAGAAGAACTTTCTTTTATTAGTTTTAAACCTGCTACCCATTAATTTCATTTGGTGTCCTCTAGTTCTTCTATTTAGGGAACTAATAAATAACTTTTCTTTATCCGCCCTCTCCACACCACTCATGATTTTATAGACCTCTATCATATCCCCCCCTCAGTCTCCTTTTTTCTAAACTGAAAAGTCCCAGTCGCTTTAACCTCTTCTCATATGGGACGCGTTCCAAACCCCTAATCGTTTTAGTTGCCCTTTTCTGAACCCTTTCAAAGGCCAAAATATCTTTTTTGAGGTGAGGAGGCCACATCTGTACACAGTATTCAAGATGTGGGAGTACCATACTTTTATACGGGGCAGTAAGATATTCTGGGTCTTATTTTCTATCCCTTTCCTGATAGATTTTAACAGTTTGCATTCATTACATACCACAAACGTATCATAGGAAAACTGATGTCGTCGCTGAAGATGTTCCATGAAGTTAGCACTCCGATAATTTGGATCTCCCCAGGGCATCGAGGCACAAATTGGGCAAACCTTAGAGGAAAAATATATGAAAACATGTTACCCAAATACTGAACTCGATTTAGATTTGAGTTCATAGGGAATATCCTCAGAACTGAAGACTTCTTTAGAGACTATTATTACAGCAGCAGCTTTTGGAATCTAGGTTTGCCTCTTGAAATTAAATTCCTTCCTCCCGCCCCCAAATCTGACTTAAAACAAAGATAATTGTAAAAATAAATGAAAGGATAAACAGTTTTATAGGCGTGTGAAGATTATAAACACAACCATGACCTTTATAAAAGACACTCACATTGCGGGAAACAAATTAGAACACGCTGCCAAATAATTTTAACACTAGGATATTTGGTTCCTCACTGCATTCTTTTGATTCAGTTTTTAGGTTTCTGAATTGAACTACTAACTTTGAGCTGCCTTTGTTTATGGACAGAATACTGAATAAAGTATCTTGTTTTGCAGAAATATTTCATCCTACCTCTTTTTCCAAGAATAAAAAAAAAATTTCCACCCTCATTATCCCCTTGGAGAAGATACAGGTCTGCATGGAAAAAAGCATACTCCTTTCTAAACTTTCCTAAAGTTACCAAAGCCACCCTGGGGACAAAAAGGAAAGAGCTATTAATTCTTAAAGCTGAATTTCTTTAAGTTTTGCAGCTTGTGTTTTGCTTCCTGCTATACTTGTAAGATTAGTGATCTACTCTAATACTGAGGACATAGGGGCTTGTTTAGAGAGGTTCTACTGATAAAACTTCATTATACATGACTCATTTTAAATTATCTGTGGGGCAGGCAGTTTAAGATTGCCTTTTTAAAAAAGCACAACAGATTTTGTAAGCTGCAGCACAGGCAAGTGAAATACCTGATGTTAATTCTAAGACACCTTAATGTCTTTAAGGAAATTTGTCCTCTTTAGGCTCCTCCACTCCACCTCAAAAAAGTGTGTTTTTGACATTAGCCATCTTGTTATTTCATTCCAGTGGTTTGTGTTTTATTAAGTTATTACTACTATGTTCTATTTCAATTGTGAGGCTGTAATATTTTGAAAAAATTAAAATGGGTGCACCTGTGACCATGCCACACCTAAGTTCAGATTTTTAACAGTTCAACCCCAATGCTGCAAACAAACATGCATATATTTAGTTTTATTGCACAAGTAGTCCCACTGGAGTCAATAGGAGGACCCAAGTACTTAAAGTCAAGTACATGCTTGTGTGTATAAGGTTCCCAAGTCTGTAGTTTCCAAGAGATTTACCATTAAGACCAAAAAATAAACAGATTTCCTCATCAAAACTGTTACACTGAGATTAATACTGTATATATTACCACTTGTTTTGCATCCATGGTATGGTACTTTTTGCAATGCTCAACTAGTCCTTCCTGATCAAAATTTTTCTCACTACAGTAAGGACAAGGAAAGGTAAAACGATTTGGAACATTTCTGTAAAAAAAAAAAAAAAAAAAATCACAGAAAGGTTAATTAAAATGCAGAGTCTCTCTGGATATTCAAAGTCAGTTGGCAGGATATTGAAAAAACAGAGCACTCAGAAGTTAAATCCTCTTAAACAGCATAATTCTTAATACATTTAGAATTTTACAGCACTTACTTTCTAGCATCTACAAATATTAGCTATATCTAAGTAAATATATCATTTCTCAAGTTGTTTTCTTTGTTATATTTTGCAATGCTTTAATAAAGCACACAATTAAGTGCTAGATATACTGTAGTACGATTCAGATTAATAGAGCAGTGCAGATGTTTCCTTACCTAGGGCCTGCTCCTGGAACAGACTGCTTGGGCAATTTAAGTGACTGGAGCAGCATGCCTACATGCTCCATTGCAGGATTAGGGCCTAATTAACACCAGTCTCAGAGCATTAAAGTAAATATTATGCAAACTAAGTGACGAGCTAATGCTCTTGTTTGCTTTCGTTTTCACTTGCTGGCTCACTGGAGCAGCGAGCTGGAATATTTAAAAACAAACTCCCCCTACCCCCAGAGTCAATTAAAACCACTTCCATCTTAAACCTCAGCCTTGTACATTAACTACCCGAGAACACTGCTCTAATGGATCTGAAAAAGGAGTGTTTCATGAGGTATCATCACCTGGTGTTTCGAGGTGGTTCTTTAGTTACAGCTTTAACACGCTCCATTATATAATTCTGGTATTTTGAACAAGAAGCTGCATGACTTCGCATCTTTGAGAGGTACATCTAAGTGAGCAAAAGAGGCAGAGTTAACAAGCAAGGTTATTTTCAATTAAAAATTCAAAAAAGGATGATAAACAAACAGTGGAATCTACAAACCAACTGCTATAGGAAGAAGCTTCATGTTCAGATAAGACTGAAGTAGGAAAAGCCAAATGTTTTGGCCTATGTGGCAAAACAGAACAAGGAGCTATAAACAGAAGCTAAAAGTTAATGAAGCTATAACACTCTTCTGTTAATGGACATTGCATATTGCCTAGCACAGCTCACTCCTTTTTATATATTCCCTTTTGATGCACAAAACTACTGTATCTGCTTTGTACTAAGTCAGTTTTCTAGCTCCTCCTTTCACTATTCCTTGCAACAACAGGATCAAGTGGAAGTAGGTTACTCATCAAGTGACAGACTCTAAAATATACCTCACTGAGTATTATACCAGGGAAGAATAAGAGTGTCAGAGAAATGCAGAGGACAAAGGTACTTTCCTAAATAGAACTTTAGTGATCAAAGTCTAGCTAGTTATGCTGTTCTGGTTAACATATATAACCAGTTTAAACCATAAGCTTCTCTATTAATTCTAATAAGGAAATGGTTTTAAGTGTGGTTTTGTCACCAATGGCACACATCACTTGTGTCATCAAATTAAGGTCAAATATATTACAAAGGGTGGGATCCACAAAGGTGTTTAGGCACTGAAGTCCCAGTTTTGGCTCTCCTGAAGTACATAAACTACACACCTCTATAGGCACCTACATTTTTCAGAATGAAAGTTCCCCTAACATCTAAGTTTCTGTTTGTGGGCAGGCAGGCAGATGTCCTCTTCTAGGTGTCCGAAACCCATCTCCCACTAAAGCCTCAGACGTGCCCATAATCAAGGAAAAGACAGACCTGCTTTATAACACTTAGCCCTGTGGCTAAAACACTTGCTTGGCATGTGGCAAACCCAGGAGTAACTTCCCCCTTCTGCCAGAGGAGGACAAAGGATTAGCCAGGGCACAGAGTTATGGGGTATTCTGATATAGGGCTGCCTCAATCTCTCCTGTTAAAGTTACTGTTATGAGTGATTGGCGCATGGGGACTGGAGCTGGGATCTCCTACCTCACAGGTAGAAGTCCTTACCATTAGATTAGAGGAGTCTCTCTCTCCCTCCCTCCCTCCCTCCCTCCTAGCAGGTGAGGCTTTTTGTTGACTGGGCAAAGTTATTTTGTGTAGATTACACTTTTAGGAAAGATCAAGAAATTAAATACATGTAATAGAAATTTTATTAATATGCTTGCAAAGAGGAAGCAAAATAATAGTTTTAAACTGGTAAATGTTTCAACTTCAAACATTATTCATTTTTATTGAATAATTATCATATATAGTAAATTTGAATCCGAAATTCATAAAGCTTCCATTACTCTTTCTGAAACTTATTTGAATTATTCTGTGATTTGTAACTGTAAAAATTTTCTTTGCATTAAAGTGACAGTTGAATAGGTAACTTGATTTTAATTTTTTTTATGAACTCTAATCATAACAGTCATGACTTTTTAATAATTATTTTTGTTTATCATCAGAAAAAACGGTGTTGCTCAAAGTGGTCTGCAGACCCACTCTAAGAAAGCTGCTACTGGGCCACAGGCATGGAGTTTCACAGTTCCCCCTTGGCAGCAAACAGCGAACCACAGCCAATGGGAGCGTGACTGCGGAGCTGGTAAGTAAACAAACCAGAATGGCCTGGTAGAATCTCTCTCAAAGTGGGTCTGCAGATCGCTTTGAGAAACACCGATTTACACCCAGCATATTCTGGTGTAAAAAGCACTGCATTCAGCTAATTTAAGTGGCAGGATTGTTTATACAAATTTGGTATCTGTAGGTAATCATGAAGTATGACCTTATTTTGCACAAACAAATCCACAAACAAAAAACTCTTCAAAATATTTAATAGATAGTAGAACATAAGGCCAGAGAGAGAGAGAGAGAGAGAGAGAGAGAATGAATGACTCAGGTGTTAGTAGGATCTAATCTAACATCAAGGAACAAAAATGAAACCAACCAGAAACAAAAGTGAAACTCATTGAGTTGTTATGCTCTCTCAAGCTACATTAAATACAAAAAGCAGAGCATAAAAATGAGAAACAAAAAAAAGTGTGCGTTATTTAACAGGGAGGGGGCATTTAGTAACGATAATTTTACATGACAATATGTTTTACACGACAATGCCCCTTAAATAGCTTTAAATGATAATTTCCTTAAGGCAAATCTAAGATTAATCTTAATATTTAGATACAGGACTATATTAACTGTAGAAGTTTCACACTATGCGCCATATAACAAAGTAACAAGAGCTAATTAGTGCTTTTTATTTTTATGGCACTTATCACCTGCTGTTACAGTTGTCAATCCTCCAGGATTGCCCTGGAATTGTCAGGAATTAAAGGTTAATCTCTATTAAAGATTGTGTCATGTGATGGAACTTCCAGGCATATGTCCAAACTAAAGCAACAATTCTGCCAGGTATCCAATAATTCCTGAACTGCACTGTATACATGAAGGACTAGCAATTCCATTATTTCCCTACCATCAGAAATAAAATTGATTAAAGGATATTGCATACACAATCTTCTTGTGAATTTCACGTCTATAGAAAACACTACCCGTAGACAGCTTTGTCTTAAGATACAAACATAACTTTTAACAGATTATAATATACCTTTATTAGAAAATTATTTCTATTAAGAGACTAGCAGATTGGTTTATTAAGAGAGTTTTCACTATGTTCTGTATTTACAGAACTTATTCCTGAAGAAATAGATGTAACTCAGTACCTACTGCATCATCAGCTTCATGTGAACTGTGTATCTGTACCTGAAATCTACCTATTAATGAAAAAACAGCAGCAACAGGGGAAAGGGTATCATTACCCTATATCATGTGGGGGCAATAATTTTTAATGGGGTGGGAAGTGGGAACTCCAAGAATTTGGTAAGTGATCAAAGGCTGCGCTTTTATTATAGAAGGAAATGTGGAGTCTGAGTCAGAATTTGGATGCAGAAGGGAGTTTGGGGTAGGAGGTTGAGGTGTGAGACAGGGTTATGATATGGGGCAGAAGCTTGGATGCATGGTCTGAGAGGGGGTATGGGTGCAGGAGAGGATTCTGGCCTGGGGAAAGGGTTTAAGAGGGGGTACAATGGCCTGGGAGGGAGTTGTGACCTGGAGAGTTGGGGAGAGGGGGCTATAGAGGGTTAAGCTGGTGACCCTATGGCAGGAGGAAGTGGTGGCCTAGGACAGGTAGTTGTGGGGGAAAAAGAGGGGATGGGATGCCAGAGGCAGATTCTGGCTGAGAGGCTCTTACCTAGGTGGCTCCCAAACAGCAGCCCTGCAGAAACTGGAGGCAGGCTGTCTGCTGCTGTCCCAAGCTGGTCAAAACACCTGGATGCTCCATGTGGCTCTCCTCCAGCATGGGGAGGGTTCACATGTTGCCCCTGCTCCCAGCAAAATTTCTCAGCTTCTGTTGGCCGAAAACTGGCCAAAGGCAGTTGAGAGATTTTGCTGGGTGATGGACTAGCAGGAGAAGCCTCTATCCTTCCTCACCAGTGTCCAGAGCAGCCAGCCATTTAAAGTGGCATGAGCTGCTCTGTGCCTAAGGGTCCCAGCGAGGCAGCTGAGGGCCAAGTCTGGTGGTTTGGCACTCCAGATCCAGCCTGCAGGCCGCATATTGCCCACCCCTGCCCTATATGCAGTCCGTGCAAATTATTTATCAAAACTAAAGTTCTGATTGTTTATTCCCTAGAAAGCTGATGTGCAAAATAGTGCATTTCCATGTAAGCTGTTTGCCTATTTTAACTATATATGTACTTCCTTTTTTGTTCTTTCATACTTTTTTATTGCAGCCATCACAAGTGGTTTCTGTCATTTCAATTTGCTTTTCCAGGTCCAAATCTCTACTGCCAGGAGAGAGGGAACTGCGGCAGACTCCACAGACTGGCTTAATAGGCTTCAGACATTCCTGCAGGCATGGAGTGCAAAAGCTAATATGGGAGAAATACGATTTGTAAAAATGCATGTTGTAGAATATACGTGTATTGTTCCCATTAAAATAGAGACCTACTCTAAAGGAAAAAAGTCCCAAGTGACAACACCCACTGACAAATAATCTGTTGATACGTGTGTTATACTAAAGGACAGCCAAGTCACTGTAAATCTAGTCAATTTAAAAACAGTTTCAAGTCATGTCCCTGTCCCCGAATGCTCTTACCAATTTGTGGTTTATGCTACATTTCCTCTTTTCAAAGTTTCTCTTCACTGTTTCCAATAGAAAAATCCACACAAACAGCAAAACCCAATGATTACATAGAGAAGCTAACCAAAGTGCTGTCAAACACACAAAATAAACAAACTGAAAAAATATTCTTTTCATTTTTCAGTTTTAGTAATCTGAAATATAACCTGTAAAAGTCACCCAACTATTCTCCCTAGATGCATAAAGAGAAAGAAGGGGGCCTTAGCTTGCTCTGCAAAACCCTTTTCTTTAGGTCCCCCCTCCACCCAAGAACTTGAAGGCGATGTACATTGCTCTTTCAATGGTACATTTCACCTGAGAAAAATGTCATGTTAGAAAACATTAACTAGACCATTTTAATGGACTATTGCGACAGCAACATTGTACTGTAGAAAAGGAAAGCAGTGTGATTAACATAAGGCAGGTCTAACCTGAGGGCTTATTTCCTCTTAGAAGCCTCTCCTGTGAATTTTACAGGAAAGGAGGGCATCTTGTCCCAGCAGAGACAGAACTGTACTTAAGTTTCACTTTAGTCACAGCCAAACAGAGAGCTCATTTTGTAAGAAAGCTGTCTACCCCACCCATCTTGTCAGTGTCCCACTCACAGCCCTTCTATCCACAGCTCAAATCACCCACATTTTATCTAGTGTTTCCATAACACTCACACCACTGCACTGCAGATGAGCCCATATACCTGAAAATAAAAAGGCCAAGCTTCTTCCTTAGCCCATTCCACACTTCTCCTTCACCAGCACATGCTGCCTTCAATTAAATTGGTTCGCTTTCTATTCCCTCTCTGGTACAGTTTCCCAGAATCGACCGGCTGGGACTCCACCCTTTTCTAGCCATGGGAAATCCCGGCACTCACTGCTATCCATTTGAACAGTCGGATTGTCTACCAGGTGCTCAAAAGTGATCCCTCTAGGGCCCAATCTTTCAGGGCTTGCTCAGGAAAAGCTCCCCGCGCAACGAAATGGCCTGTGGCTTTGAGCCCCACTGGGGCTAACGGGCTCCAGGAGGAGGATTAACAGGTAGCGGGGGAGCGTTTCTCGGGAATCCTACAGCATCAGCAGACCCATTTCTTCGCAAGGGCTCAGGCCCGCTCCCCAGGCTGGGGGGGGGGGGGGCCCAATCTTTCAGGGCTTGCTCAGGAAAAGCTCCCCGCGCAACGAAATGGCCTGTGGCTTTGAGCCCCACTGGGGCTAACGGGCTCCAGGAGGAGGATTAACAGGTAGCGGGGGAGCGTTTCTCGGGAATCCTACAGCATCAGCAGACCCATTTCTTCGCAAGGGCTCAGGCCCGCTCCCCAGGCTGGGGGGGGGGGGGGCGGCGGGG